CTTACAATAAAACAGCTGAGTGGCACCCTGCTGTCTGACAAAGGGAGCTGACCAAGGATATCAAAAGCACTGGTGAGGGCACCTGGGTGGCTCAGTCGTTAAGCATCTGCCTTCAGCTTAGGTCATGGTCCCGGGGTCCTGGGATTGAGTCCTACATCGGGCTTCCTGCTCAGCAGGAAGCCTGCTTCTCCCTCTCCCACTCCTCCTGCTTGTGTTTCCTCTCTCGCTGTGTCTCTGTCAGATAAATAAAATCTTTAAAAAAATAAAATAAAAAAGCACTGGTGACACTGGAGGAGTCACCCACAGCAAGATGGGAGGGTGAGGGTCTGAGGAAAGGATTCCAGGCGAGTGACCAATGGCACACATCCCAAAGAGAAGGCAATTGTTGGTCATTTTAGCCCAGAGCACAGTTTCTTTAAATGTGTCCTTTGAACTCCAGGGATGGAGTCCACTTGAGATCCACACCAGCCACTTCCAGATCCAGTGACACTTTAGTCCTTGCTCCAAGATCAGTGGTTCTCAAACAACAGGCAGGCAGGGATCTCTTTCTAAGCAGATGGAAAGGTGTCAGAGGCTAAGGGGACTAAGAAGAACAATGGGGGCAACTGGAGTGGGGGAGGGGTGTTGGTGTCAGAAGTGATGAAGGGAAAAGGAAGGCACTATGGTTCTACAGGCCTTCAACACATCGGTCAGGGAATCCAGCATTTGTTTACAGGAATCAGAAGGTCCAGTCTGGAATCAGCTCAGGGGAGTGGTCACCATCGACACACATAATGGGCTAAACTTAACAAAAGGATTTTCAGTAAACAAAAAAGTCAGTCCTGGCTTCTTTAAATTATTTTCTAATTAACCAAATGACTTTAAATTGAGACATTAAATGATAATTAGCCCATCTAGATTAAGCTTGTCACTTCCAATCTCAATTCTGTTAAAGCTCTGAAAGACAAAGGACACCTGCAACTAGCACAGGTAATAATCTAATCTTTGGCTCCTATATACACATATACTCAGTGATATCAACAAATTGGGCCTTTAATTTTCTAAATTAACCCTTGAGAAACATCTAGTAGTTCAGCCTTCTCTTCTTCCTTTTTTTCAACTTATGTGGATATTCAGGAAATTCAAACACCTTGGTAAACCCTTCTTAATTATACCCCTAGAAGAGCTTTGTTTTGCCTACCTAAAAGCCCACATCTCTAAGGTACCAATTCTGAAGGATAGTTTTCAACAAGAACTATGTCCTAGGCAGAGGTTATGCAAAGCAGACTGCTTTAAAGCTGTCAGGGGTATTAGCCATGGAGATAGCTGTCCAAGGCTATGGTCTCTGGACTTTCTGTAACGGTAATAGAGGGCCCATGGAAAATGAAGACACACTGATGCCCAACCAAATCAAAATCAATCAAATCTGCTCATTCATTCATTCAACAAATTTCTACTGCATGCCTGCCCTATGAAACGTGTCACGTCAGGCACTATCGGGATCTAGATGGAGTGGAATTAATTCAGAGAACACTAGAGATAGCTTTAAATCATGTCCTATGAGGGACCATTGAAATAATCACAAATTAACCTAAAATAAGAAGATTCTGGGAGAACATGAGAGCCCCCATGCCTAAATATTTAAACCTTTTTTCTTGCAGAAAAGAGATTAGACTTGTTTTGTACCAGACCATGTAGAATTAATATCAATGGGTGGAAATCAATGGAAAGAATCACACCAACGATAAGAAAGAACTTGCTAACAGAGCAGTTTAAAAATGGAATGAGCTGTTTGGGAAGGAGCGGAAGCCTCATTAGCAATATTTGTACCTGGGGCACTAGATACTGCAGTACTCACTGGATACCGGGCCCCAAAATAAATCTTAAATCTGACCACTTCAAATCCAGTTATCTATCACCCAAAGGCAATCACTGCTAATATACTGGTATGTTTCCTTCTGTTTTTTCTGTGCCTTTTTTTTCTACCATTGTGAAATTGTACCACATGTACAATTTTCTACTTTGTATTGAAATTTATTTCTCTAAGTTATTTTGTAGACTACTAAAATCTGCCAAGGCTTTTCATAATTGTTGGACATTTACAGTTTAATGGTAAGAGTAGTTCTGGAGATACTCTACCTGGTTTGAACCTCACTTACAATACTACCTTGGTAAAGTTACTTATTCTTTTTGGCTCGGTCACCTCATTTGCAAAATAGGAGTTATACCTCACAACAAAAGAGTATAATTCCCATAAAGCACTAAGAACTGTGCCTGGCACAAAACATGCACTTGAAAATTTTACCAATTATAGGTAAAAACCTGAAAGTCTGTGGAGAAAAATTGTGAAAGATTTTGAAATGGACCAAAAGTTTGCTGGGTTTCTTTCATGGAAAGCAGAGCTTTTATCTAGCACAATCTTGGGGTAAGGGACTCCAAGCCTTTGTGTTCGAGCTAGTCTACAACCCTGAAAGTTGTACATAAATGATCCTTGCCCATAGACAACTTCTAATTCTATCCAGTGGATAATTTACTTCCCTCTCCCGTTGAAAAGGTCAATTTTACATTTATTTTTAAGCTCATTTCAACATCCTTGATTCACCTAGTAGGGATGTTCTGAATTGTTTGAATGGGCTGTAACAGTTTACTGATTTCAGTAATAAGCTAAGTAAAATTCTTGACAGGTTCTTTGACAGATCCCATACAGAGCTAATTTATTAAGTCAAGGGACCCAAACCTAAGAATGTATTCTCTATGCTCCAATGAGATTTCTCTCATAGGATATATCAATTTTGCCATCAACATCATTGAACTTTTAGTAGGTAATTTAACTTTTCAATAATTAGGGACTACTATTAATATACAAGGCACCTATGTGCTGTGGTAAACATGGAAATAGTTCCTGCCTTAATCTAATTGTTTTTGGGGAAGAGCATATAGTGGGCATTGAGAACATCAGCTTTGATATCAGACAGATTAGAGTTCTGGACCAGTTCTGATCCCTTTAGTTGGGTAGACTTTGGTAATGAAATTACTGCATTTCTAAGCCTGTTATCTCAGGGGTGTAATGAGCATGTCTATGAAAAAGTCTCAAAAACCTTGAAAAAGACTTGAAAAAAATAATGCACTTAAGGCACTTGGCAGGTCTGGCACAGATATTTAAGTCTTAAGCAGTTAAGTTATTCAATTCCTAGTAGAGAAGCCAGACCACCTTTCACACCAAACTTCCCACTCACTCCCACCACATACACACAGAGCCAGGACTGGTTAGGGCACATCCCCTCGGTGAACGCACAATACATATGGGACCATTTACACAGCGCCATCCCACGAAGAGTTCAGCTCATCCAAGTGTCATACCAAACCACCCATCTCACAACCTCATTTACCTAAATCATTAGGTGCGTGAGCCTATCTGATCTTTAACCAAAATTTCCACATTTGCTCAGGTAACACAGGTCTTACCCACCCTATCTGCAAAAGCAGCTCCATTCCATTACCAGAAACTCCTACATCTTCAAGTTTTTCTTCCAATATTCTTTACGTCTCCCTACCCAGTTTAAACCTGGCTCTTCCCCAGACATATCCCCAGCAGCGACTGCAGCTTATTATCCCATACTCTTGGGCCTCAAGGTTAGGAGCAAAGGTGGATTTACTATAAAGCTCATGAAAGTTAAGCTTCAGTTGTCCCCAACTTCCATGACCTCCTACAGTAACAATACATTTGTCGTTTTTGAAGTTTGCAGATAGCTTAACCACCAGTTGTTTTTTCCACTTGTTTCCAGCCACACTTCCCCCTCCTGAGAGGACACGATATCAACCCAAGTGTATCAGAAGCAGTTAGCTCATCACTCCCTGCTTGGCTTCTAGTATACCATTACCTTGGCTCTCCTTCGGTCTGTTCATCTTCCCAGGAGTAACCCAGAACAGTCCTGTTCATATATTATTTACTCCCTAGATTTTAGGAATTGGATCTCTAGTCACGACGATGAGATCCCAAATTAGCAATTATTCATATTCTGAGGACAACTGAAATCGTACAAGCAGTCCCAAGCTCCCAAGGATTCCAGAGGAAATGTACACAAATGCCTACCTACTTGGGAGCTCCATATGAAAGTCTAGAAGCACTTTCAACTTACTATGCCCCAAACTTAATTCTTCCCCAAACCATTTTTTCAGTCCTAGCTCTGTAAGAACTATAGCCTTCCCATTGCTCAGGCCAACCCTTAGAATCCTCTATCTTCCACATCCAAGCCTTCAACAAATCCTGTCATCTTGCTCTTCAAAAGCCATGTTTGCAGACTGCTTCAACCACTCCCTTTTGTCCTAGCCCTAGCCAAGACCACTTGCCTAACTATTCCAACAGACTTGTTTCCCTCCTTCCATCCTTGCCTCATTAAAGTTTATCTTGTGGACAAGACCCAAGAGCTTTTTTTAAAATTTGAGAGAGATCACTGGGGGGGCGGGTAGAGGGAACAGCAGACTCCCCGTTGAGCTGGGAGCCCCATCCCAGGACCCCAGGATCATGACCTGGCCTGAAGGTAGACGCTTAAACGCCTGAGCCACCCAGGTGCCCAAGACCCATGAACTTTTAATCACTGGTGCCCCCTTTCCACATACAAACATTTGAGAAACTTGCAAGATTTTATCTGTGAATTACCCCAAAAGCTAGGACTGCTATCTCCCCGCCTCTGGGCAATGCCAAGGTTTCAGTGATATATCTTTTTTCAAAAAAAACGTATCTCAACAGTTTTATTTCTATTGCCTAGCTCACTGTAGCACATCAATTACTTGAGACAGTTGTCTCAAGTTATATGCTAGATGCTCCTATATATAGAAGTCACTTTATGTAATAAAAAAGGTTTTTTTGAAATATAAAAACAACACTGGCATTTTTATCAGAGTTCAGCATGAGTACTTTTATATAACTGAAGGAAATTAAGCCACATACGTTGAAGATGAACTGCTGAGAAAATAGTACATTTTAAAAAGGAGATTCCTATAATCAATTGACCGTTCCATTCACATTAAAGCACTCATAATTGGAGTATTTTTTATTTTATGTACAATGAGTTGACATTGAAGTAGGTATCCTGGTTATCTGCAGTTAACGTAATCTTGGATGACCAATTCAAGGAAGTTCACTTAATCCAACTGAAAAAGAAAAGACAGACAAGAAATCTATTAATTCAAAATGTTTAAATACCCATTTTATTCTCACAAACACTGGTGCTTATTATGGAAGGATGAGGTTTAAACTGGAAATCTGACCGACCCAAACTAGCTACCAAGCTCTAAATAGCTTAAATAGTTACTGAATGCTTACAACAAGCTATCCCACAAACCACAACAATTTAAGACTGTAAACTTTAGCATCAGCATTCACTTCTTCCCTCAAAGAATTCCCCACTAGAAAGACACTACTACATAAAATAATCTTTACCAAAACCTCAGGCTGGTTAAGTAGGTAACTACACAGCTAATACTTTGGTATTTAATGTGTGAGAGACACTACTATAGGGACCGTTCATAAATTAACTCATTTAATCTTAACCTCTGAGAAACTGGGGACGCAAAGTTAATAGCTCAAGAGCCTGAGTCCATTCTCATCACTGATACACTGATCAACACGTCCCATCCCGCTGAATGAGATATATGAACTTCCACAGTGTAACAAGCATATACGTGCTAAGTGTCTGGTCAAAACTAAAAGTCTAAGCTTAAGATACTTTGTGTCTAACAGAGATCATACTTTAACACCAGCAACTGTATCATCGCGAAGGGCCAAAAAAGTGGTAGTTTTCACCACAGAGGGAAGAAAACACTCTAGCACTTAACTGATTTTTAGGAGTCAAGACAGCTCCACATATACAGATTTGCAACAACCTTGCCATTTATTTTTCTCAGGCAGAAACGGAACTTAATGTGACTGGACTAAAGTCACTGGACTATTATTAAATAGTTGATTTCTATCTGAATCCTAAGAAGGTCTAGCTGGCCCCAATCATCTTCAAGCTCATGCCAGTGTATGATGCTATCCCACATCTCGGGGCAGTAGCCAACACATGTATTTTGCTGGAAAATGTCTAGATACGATTAAAGAGATCTAAAACTTAATTTCCAGTGTTTTCTAAAACTGACGGACACTGGTAAAAAGGGGTTAGACTGTAAAATCTATCCCATTACCCTGCCAAAGCTCTTTAACAGTGGCGTCCGATACCCCAAAAAGCCCTGTTAACAACTAAGACAAAGAGGAAAACGGTGTTGGTCGAAAGCTCAAAATAAGGAAATATCTGAACTTTCCCCGCTCACACACAGAACCCGGAGAAGGCATCCGCGGCCGCGTACCTTAATGAAGCCTATATCCTTCGCGTACTGACGGAAACACTGGCGGCACATATTGAGACCGTATTTCCGGATCAGACCGTGCCGGTTTGAGCAGACGCGGCTGTAAGAAGAGAGATGGCGTTACTGCAGGCCGCAGAAACGGAAAGATTCCGCACTCGGGGGTACCACTCTCACCGCGGGTCTTCCCTGACCCGTCAGAGGCCCGTAATGGCGGCAGTCACAGCTCCAGGGTCGGTCTACCCCCACGCGCCGCCGCGGACTCCTCTCCATGAGTTCTGGCCGCGTCACAACCCAGTACAACCCTTCCCTAAAACCACATTCTGTTTCTCACCAAGAACGAGAACCCTGGCCAAATTTCCTCGGATGGCTCCAGTACAGCTGCTGGTGACCCATCTTGCTCTCTCGGACGCAACGAGGCAAAAGGAAAGAAGTAGCGAACGCATGCGCTCTTCAAATTTTTGAGACACGGTTTACCCAGAATGCAGTGCTGACAAATGACGCGAACGCTGTGCGACTACGCGGTTTCGAGGGAGTGAATCGAGCGGTCTTGGAAACATTCTAGGCCGGCACAGCTGGTGACGTCACCGCAACTCAGCCTCTAGTGTCAACTTGCGCTGCTCTCGAGCGCCGGGCGCGGTGGCGCGCGCCTGTAGTCCCAGCTACTCGGGAGGCTGAGGCAGGAGGATCGCTTGAGCCCAGGAGTTCTGGGCTGTAGTGCGCTATGCCGATCGGGTGTCCGCACTAAGTTCGGCATCAATATGGTGACCTCCCGGGAGCGGGGGACCACCAGGTTGCCTAAGGAGGGGTGAACCGGCCCAGGTCGGAAACGGAGCAGGTCAAAACTCCCGTGCTGATCAGTAGTGGGATCGCGCCTGTGAATAGCCACTGCACTCCAGCCTGGGCAACATAGCGAGACCCCGTCTCTTTTGAAGCCCCAAGGAATGAATTTTGAACTCCTAAGAAATAAATAAATCCGCGATCTAAGTATCTTTTCTCATCGCCAGACCCATTCATATCTTCTAAATTAAAATTTTACACTTGGAAAAAGGATTTTGCCTCGACTCAGCACTGACACCTGCTGGGATAAATTAATAAAATAACGTAGAGTCAGCTGTAATAATTAAGAGTCAACAGTAGGAGTTTCTCTCTTGTTAAACAGAATACGTTTCCAAAGCTGTTTTCTCGTTTTTTAATTGAGGGGCACACTCTTAGAGATACACCTACAACAATCGAGAAAAATGAGAGACTTAGTATATTTGATGTTTAAATATAGTTGAATATTAGTGAGAAACAAGTTGCATAATGTATGTTGCTTTGACTGGATGATTTGGTTCCAACTACTAAAAAACAAATGCCATCTGATAATCTGTTGAAAGATGTCTAAATTCCACATGGACGTTTATGATGTCTCTAGATAAACCTAAAACCGTACATGGTTCCAAAATCAAAGCTTTAACTAGATCTACAAAATGTACCACAGGGTGAAATAATCCAATAAAATTTTACACATGAATTCTTATATTAAAACTTCTTAAGGTATGCTATTTCAGGATTCTGGAGGGGATGCCCTTCCCAATCATTAAATTAGGGATTTTTTTTTAAAGATTTTATTTATTTATTTGAGAGAGAGAGAATGAGAAATAGAGAGCACGAGAGGGAAGAGCGTCAGAGGGAGAAGCAGAGTCCCTGCTGAGCAGGGAGCCCGATGCGGGACTTGATCCCGGGACTCCAGGATCATGACCTGAGCCGAAGGCAGTCGCTTAATCAACTGAGCCACCCAGGTGCCCTAAATTAGGGATTTTGATGAAGGAAGAAGGCAAGTCAGAAATTAAAAAACCACATGTGACTTGATTCCTGTTCTCAAAACTTGCAGATATAAGGAAGAAAATGGGATTATCTTAGAGAGCCCTTCCTTCCAGTTTCAACTTGTGTGACTTAATGGCCTGTATGCGACTAAGGAAGCAAAGATTCTATGTCTTATGATGGATGTACTCATGGTATACAAGAGGAGCAAAAAAGAGAGACATTAATTCCAGCTTGAGGTATGTTTAAGATGCTGTTCAAGTAAGCCATGAAGAGTGGGATTTCCACAGGCAGCACTAGATGGAATGCCTGGTGACAAGAAGAGTTTGAGCCAAAGAATGGAGTTGTGGAAGGTGAACAATCTTGTATAACTAGAGTTGAGGATACACAAAAACCTTAGTGATAGGTAAAACAAACATATTTTATCATAAAGCCTGATTGTAGAGGGTCCAATATCAAACTTCCACAGTTTTCCTAGAATTTATATCAGTCATTGATGTGTAGTTTCCAAAATTCATGTGCCTCTCAAAAGTTAATCTAACATTTCCCCACCTACAGGCTTCTCAGACCTTTCCTAGCTTGTGTACATAATTTTTAAAAGATTACAATGGTTCTGAGATCAAATCCATAAATATTTCAACACTTTGATATAGAATCCTTTGGGCCTAAAGAAATGTGAACTCATTTAAAAGCAAAAAGGAAAAGGACAAACAAGAAACAATTATTACACTTGAATAATCTGTTAAACCTATCTTGATATTCAAGTAGTTCTTAATGTTGAAGCCAATGCTCACTGGCCATTCCAAAAATCCTAGAGCCTTTAAGAATTGCACTAAGTCTATTCTGCCTGTGCTCTATAAATGGAAGAACAAAGCCTAGATGACAGCATATCCATTTAGAACATGGCTTACTGAAAATTTTAAGCCCACTGTTGAGACATATGCTCAGAAAAAAGGATTCCTTTCAAAATATGACTGTTCATTGAAAATACCCCTGGTCACGCAAGAGCTCTGATGGGGAAGTACAACGAGATTAATGTTATTTTCATGCCCGCTAACACAACATTCCTTCTGCAGCCCATGGATCCAAGGAATCATTTTTTTTTTAAGATTTATTTATTTATTTTTGAGAGAGTGAGAATGAGAGAGAGAGAGAATACATGAGAGCGGGGAGGGTTAGAGCGAGAAGCAGGCCCCTCGCCGAGCAGGGAGCCTGATGTGGGACTCGATCCCGGGACTCCAGGATCATGACCTGAGCCGAAGGCAGTCGCTTAACCAACTGAGCCACCCAGGCGCCCCCAAGGAATCATTTCAACTTTCAAGTCTTTTTATTTAAGAAATCTGTTTTGTAGTTTGCAATAAAAAAAGAATCAGCTTAAGTCATTTAATCATTTCAAGTGCATTCTGCATCCTATAAAAATAAGTTTGAAGGGGTGCCTGTGTGGCTCAGTTGTTAAGCGTCTGCCTTCGGCTCAGGTCATGATCCCAGGGTCCTGGGATCGAGCCCCGCATCGGGCCTGCTTCTCTTCTCCCTCTCCCACCCCCACTGCTTGTGCTCCTGCTCTCGCTGTGTCTCTCTGTCAAACAAATAAATAAAATTCTTAAAAATAAAAAAAAATATCTTTACGGTTATCTTTAAAAAAAGTTTGAAAAATTTAAGAGAATTGTGTTTTCATTGTTTTGCATATCTTTTGTTATGCCATGTAAATTCCCTTTTTCATATGATTAAAGAAAGGTTATGATAAAATGATTAGCTCATTTACATTCACTTGTAGCAATTACATGAGAATTTGAATTTTGTCGTGTTTGGGTTTGTTCATTCCTGTGAATGATGGTACAGTTAGGTGAGATTTTCTGTTATGGTACCCAAACTCACCATTTGGTCCTCTTTAATCTTTGAGGGTTTCAATAAAAATTGTTCACTCAAAAAAAAAAAAAAAGAAATCTGTTTTGTAAGGCTATGGCAGCCATATATAACAATTCCTCCACTGGATCTGGAGAAAGTAAATTGAAAACCTCCTGGAAAGGATTCACTATTCCAGATGCCATTAAGAACATTTGTGATTTATGGGGAGAGGTCAAAATATCAACATGATCAGGAGTTTGGAAGAAGTTGATTGCAACCTTGAGTTCTAGCACTATTAGTTGTAACACTGACTGTCTAGAGGTCGTGAGCAAATCCCTTTATGCTTTTTAGCCTCTATTCTCTTTGTGAAAAATGAAAGAATCAAATTGGAATATCTGTAAACTATGTCTCAGCTCTCAAAGTTCAGATTCTATGACAGGAGACTCTTTAAAAGGATTTAATGTGGCAGCAGTGTAGATGATGGATCATTGCATTAGACTTTTAGCTGATCCCTGCCTCTCGACTTGCTCTACCTCCAAAGTAATCTCTTTACTGACCACAGTAACCTTTCCTAAATAGGTCTGAATTTTATCCCCTGTTGAAATTTTTCAATGTTCCCCAGTACTTTCAGGCTAAAGCTCAAAGGCCCTGGTTTAGCAAACAAATTCTTTTCATCATCTGGCTACTTTATACTCCTCTAATGTCTGACATTTATCCCATTGTAGTATAACATCTCTCCTAAACACTGCAAAATCATCTCTGCCTTCTAAACATCTAAAATAGGTGCTGGCATACAGCAAAAACACTATAAATATTAAATAAATGAATAAGTATTGAAGTAAGAAGACCCGGTAAGTTTAGGAGTAGTTCTGGAGGGAAGTAATGCAGCTCTCAACTGACATGGTAGCACTAACAAGGGAAAGGTGGACATTAATTAGGAAATCATAGTGGAAACACAACTTAGAAGACCTAATTAAGCAGCATCAACAGGGGCAAGGTAGCACTATATAGGTCTAATGCCTAAGTGTATGTTTGTTAACTATTTAGCTTGTTTTAATTTAATGAAGTTTATGATTTAAAAAACCAAATCTAAGATCTGGTCCCAATGTGCTAGGGCAGACAAATCTACACTGTCCATAGATTATGACCTCACTGTTTAAGTATGGACGTTCCTCAAACTGTTGAAAATAGAGCTACCATATGATCCAGCAATTGCACTACTGGGTATTTACCCCAAAGATACAAATGTAGGGATTCGAAGGGGTACGTGCACCCCAATGTTTATAGCAGCAATGTCCACAATAGCCAAACTGTGGAAAGAGCCAAGATGTCCAGCGACAGATGAATGGATAAAGAAGAGGTGGTATATATACACAATGGATTATTATGCAGCCATGAAAAGGAATGAGATCTTGCCATTTGCAACGACGTGGATGGAACTGGAGGGTGTTATGCCGAGTGAAATAAGTCAATCAGAGAAAGACATGTATCATATGGCCTCACTGATATGAGGAATTCTTAATCTCAGGAAACAAACTGAGGGTTGCTGGAGTGGGGGGGTGGGAGGAATGGGGTGGCTGGGTGATAGACATTGGGGAGGGTATGTGCTATGGTGAGCGCTGTGAATTGTGCAAGGCCATTGAATCACAGATCTGTACCTCTGAAACAAATAATGCAATATATGTTAAGAAAAAAGAAGAAGA